AGTGTTACCTTTCCAATTAATTTTGTTGTACTAAAGATTGTTTAATTCCAACAAAATTTATGTCTATGCATGCCTCTGTGTGTGTTTTTAAATAACTGTATGTCTAACCTTTTTAGGTGCTAAGGAAATGTTAAATTCATTCTTAACAAAATGACACAAAGCAAGTCCCAAGGCAATTTTTATGGGTAGACCCGTGTACCAGGCTTCTATTAAATACAGAGAATGCCTTTGATGTGTAATTGCTTGTGCTATACAGTAAATGCTCATAAAATAAAAATTAATTGACAATGATGTAGTGAGCTTTGCAGAAAATAAAAACCTAGAGGTCCTGTGGCCAAAGTTATAGTTTTGGCTTTTTAAAAAATATATATTTTATTGATTTTTTACAGAGAGGAGAAAGGGAGAGAGATAGAGAGCTAGAAACGTCAATGAGAGAGAAACATCGACCAGTTGCCTCCTGCACACCCCCTACCGGGGATGTGCCCGCAACCAATGTACATGCCCCTGACCGGAATCAAACCCAGGACCTTTCAGTCCGTAGACCAACGGTCTATCACTGAGCTTTGGCTTCGGCAATTTTGGCTTTTTTTAAAATAAATTTTTGGCTTCTGCAGTTTTGGCTTTTTAAAAAATAAATTTTGATAAGTATATCAAAGTTTTGCTTTCTATTGCATTACCTTTTTTTACAGAAATTGGCAAAACATTTGGAATGTTTTGAAATGAATTATGAGATTATAGGTAATTTATACTCACATGAGAGAAATTTTAGTGATAAAAGAAAACACTGCCCTCGATTCTGAGTGTCCTTTAAGAGGAGGCAACTGTGCAACCATAATTTATTGTGGTTCTTTTATGTCAAAGCATATTTAACCTAGTATTATCAAATGATGTCAACACATCTGGAAAGAGTATTCCTTACTTATGCCACAGAGATGTCACGTAATTTGACTTTTTTTTGGTGAAACATTTTAAATGTTACCAGAGAGGCCCTAACCAGTTTGGCTCAGTCGGCCTGTGGACTCAAGGGTCCCAGATTCGATTTGGTCAAGGGCATGTACCTTGGTTGCAGGCACATACCCAGTAGGGGGTGTGCAGGAGGCAGCTGAATCAATGTTTCTCTCTCATCGATGTTTCTAACTCTCTATCCCTCTCCCTTCCTCTCTGTAAAAAAATCAATAAAATATATATTTTTAAAGTTACCAGAGAGAAAATAAGGGAATAATGTTTGCTTATTAAGTTTATGTAATCATTTATATCAGGACTCTACTTTAAATATTGCTTAAATGACCCTGGCAGAGTAGCTCAGTTGTTAAAGCCTCATCCTGACATACCAAGGTTTGGGTTCAAGGCACATACAAGAATCAACTCAAACTCTCACTCATGCTGGCCTTCAAACAGATCTGATTTCCCTCAGCCCCAGGTTCTTGCTCCTGCCTCTCTCTGCCTGTAATCCTCATCCCCCAGCCATGCAGTACTCCCTTACTTACTTGAGGTGTGGCTCATTAGGGATGCCTTCACTGACCACCTCCCAAACACTATCACCCCTGGTACACATTGTCTTCCCCCATTAGAAAGTTCACTTCACAAAAGCAGGAATTTTGGGTTAGCTATGTGCACAGCCTATAAGATGAACATGCCAGAAATGCCAAATCTGATAGTAAAATATATATATATATATATATATATATATATCAAAAGTAGCAATATAATAAAAGGATAATATGCAAATAGACCAAACAGTCTATTGACTGATCACTATGACGCACACTGATCACCAGGGGGCAGACACTCAATGCAGAGAGCCCTGAGTTGGGCTCACAGCTGGCAAGCATAGCCGTGTTGGCGGCAGCTGGGGATGTCCAACTGACAGCTTAGGCCCGCTCCCTTTGGACATCCCCCAAAGGCTCCTGGACTGTGAGAAGGCACAGGCTTTGCTGAGAGACTCCTACCCTGCCAGTGCATGAATTTTCATGTACTGGACCTCTAGTTAATGTATATAGGCACATTCTTTTATTTTCTTTTTTTTTTTTTTTAATGAATCATAAGATATATTTTATTGCCTTTTACAGAGAAGAAGGGAGAGGGAGAGAGAGTTAGAAACATAGATGAGAGAGAAACATCGATCAGCTGCCTCCTGCACACTCCCCACTGGAGATGTGCCCGCAACCAAGGTACATGCCCTTGACCGGAATTGAATCTGGGACCCTTCAGTCCACAGGCAGATGCTCTATCCACTGACCCAAACCAGTCAGAACTAGGCACATTATTTTCAATAGTTATTATCATAATATACATTACCACTCTTCTTTCTGAATAAACTTTTTTCATCAGTATTTCATGCTATCTTTCATTTTTTAAAGTATATTTTATTTTTATTTTATTTATGTATTTACTTTTTAGAGAGAGAGAAAGGAAGGAAGAGGTATAGAGAGAAACATGGGTGAGAGAGAAACATCATTGAATGGCTGCCTCGTGCACGCCTCCAATAGGGGATTGAGCTGGCAACCCAGGCATGTGCCCTAACTGGGAATCAAACCAGTTACCTCTTGGTTCCTGGCTTGACACTCAACTGCTGAGCTACACCTTCTGGGTTCATCCTACCTTTTAGATCTCTTATTCTTCCACTGCCCATTTTTCTCTTCTGAAACCAAAATCTTTCTAACAAAGTCACAGATTTAATCTCAGACTCATCCAAATAAAGGATCTCTACTACGATGCTTTTATCTATTTTCTCTACCCACTAGTCAGACTTTTACTGAGTTCCTTCTTTATTTATTTCTCTCTAATTTTTTTGTTTTCCTTTGCAAGCTATCCCTTACATGGCCATTTGCTTTCATTATTGTTGTTGTGGGGGTTACCTCCAAGCTTAGGAAGATAGGTCTTCAGTTTTGTGTGGGAGTCAACTAGAGTTTTCTCTACCTAGTATAGGCCCGATGCATGAAAATTCGTGCAGAATAGGCCTTCTTCCCTCCGGCAACCTGGACCTGGGCTTCCCTCCTCCAGCTGCTGGAAGGCACTCAGGACCCAGGCTGCTTCCCTCTGTCCCCACTTTGGTCAAGAAGGACATCCAGAATGATGTCTGGTCTAATTAGCATATTACCCTTTCATTATTATAGATTTGCCTCTTTGTTAGACAACCTCACACTCTTATTTTTGAGTTCTGGATACCTTAGCTCTTTTACGCTATCATAACTTTGTTACTTTTTGTCCTTTCAAACTCTTCTCACAAAATGTAGACCTCCCAATCCTTTTGTCTATTCTAATCAAACCAACTGCACACCAAATATAGAGCCAGAAAACATCTAAGCCTGTGCGTCTCAACCACACTGGCTCCTAGAGGGTTTTAGGAATCTGTAAGGGAATTGTGGGTTATCACAATCATTGAGGGGAAAGGGAGATGGTAGCATGTAATTGGAATGCTAGACATCTGCAGTGCAACAAACTTACACAATAAAATATTGTTCCATGTTCTGTCAGATTTTTCAATGTCCTGCCAGACACCTACTCATGTGTCTAAGGACTAGACTCTAACTCCATTTGACTGATGCCAAGCTTTTTTTTTTTTTTTTTTAAGTTTTAATATGGACTAAAATTTCTAAGAATTCTTCTGTGTAAAAAACAATGGAAGATTATACTTTGATGTAGTCAGACTTTATAAAAAAGCTGTACACTATTTTGGAAAAATCATGCTACCAACAGAAAGACCTGCTGATGCTTGAGGAAACAATAGAACACACCTACTGCAATTGTAGCTTTTGCAATTTACAGTTATTGTTTAGGCAGGCAAGCAAACGACACTTTGTATTTTTCTACTTAGACTTCTTAGCTTTTATGTTTTGAATGATATACTATTTTGCTATTTTCCAATGTTTCTCCTTTACATACCACTGGGATGGTTTTTGGGCGTGTGTATGGACGGGCTATATTATCCATGGTTTTCATTACAGAACAATGTTTTTAAAAGGCTACTCAGCATATATCCACTGAGCCAAACCGGTTTCAGGCGATCCTAAGCTTTTTCATAGGGGCCCTAATTATGCGCTGATAGAAAGAAAACTTGAGCCGAGGCCGGTTTGGCTCAGTGGATAGAGCGTCGGCCTGCGGACTGAAAGGTCCCAGGTTCGATTCCGGTCAAGGGCATATGTGCCTTGGTTGCGGGCACATGACCAGTGGGGAATGTGCATGAGGCGGCTGATTGATATTTCTCTCTCATTGATGTTTCTGGCTATCATTCTCCCTTACTCTCTGTAAAAAAATCAATAAGTTATGTAAAGAAAAAAGAAAAAGTAAACTTGAATGGTTCTTAAAAATTAAAACAATGGGGGGGGGGGAAGGTTGGAAGATTATATATGTACTACTATTTATAATACCTTAAACAATAAAAGTAAGTAAATAACAGTCTCGCATCCGTGATTTCGTGGGATGTTCGCAAGAGTCCTACAGGGAACGCAACCTTGTCTACAGATTCTGACCAACTGTAGTGTCTTATGGTAAAAACGAAAACAAACCGGAAATACTTTACTTGTATTTCTGCCATATCTTCGTTTATGAGCGCTCAAAGATCCCTCAGATTAAGCCACCAGGTGAGAACTGAGAACTTTTTTCTTTAGGGTTTATGTCGGCCTGCTCCTACAGAGATGAGAAAACCGAGGTATTTGAGGAAAGTCAAGCGACTTGCCCACGGGTCCGAGATGACCATAACATTTCAAGACAGGGGCTTAGGAAAATACAGGAGGGTCTGTTCTATTACACAGGTTTTCCTCACCAGCAAATTTTAGATTCAAGTCTGTCACCTCAGACAGAACCGGACCCGCCCCTCACTCCGCCCCCGGGGCTGTCCGCGGCACTGCCTGACTGGCGGCCAGCGCCGGGGGGGCCTCGCGGGGTCCTTCGCTCGGGCTCCGGGCGCACTGCCTGAGCGGGCGCGCAGGCGGCTTCCGGTGTGGGTGACGAGTGGTGGCCGAAGAAGGGGGACATCGAGGAACGCTCAGGCTGGGACCATGGCGGACGGCGGCTCGGAGCGGGCTGATGGGCGCATCGTCAAGATGGAGGTGGACTACAGCGCCACGGTGGACCAGCGCCTGCCCGAGTGCGAGAAGCTGGCCAAGGTGAGGGGAGGCCGGCTGTCTGTGGCGGGCGCCAGGGGCTGAGTCACGGCGCGGAGCCTGCTTAGGCCTCAGGGGGCCCGAGGGCTGGAGCGCGCATCCCCAGCCGGGTTGGGCCTGCCCGAGTGGGACACCCCAGGGCCGTCTGATCAGGGAGACTCCAGGCGGGGTGCGCTCGTGAATACCCTCCCCAGGACCGATGGTCACTTCCTCCCCGTAGGAGTTGGGGCCCCGATAGTACTTTTTGCGTTTCCTTGGATACGCTTGACCCGTTTACTTGGGTAGTTTCCCAGGGGGTAAGGCCGCTTCGGCATTCAGGCTAGATCCGGGAGTTTCGTTCTATCGCTGAGTCAATTTATGTCAAATTGTTTATGGATCGCGGCGATGTGCCTCGTGTTGGGCCAGGAAAAGGGTCAGGAAAGTGATAGTACGAGGTGATTAACATAGGATTTCTGTCCTGGACGAGTTCCTGTACGTAACGAATCGCGCAAGTCATACCTGGCGGTGAACGTCATATACAAGTATAAGTAAGTTGTTGGGACACAGAGAAAGAAGCTGTTGATTCTTATTGGTGGGATAAGGGATGGCTTTACAGAGAAGCTAATGTTTGTGTTGGTCCACCTGACGAGTAAGATTGGGGTGGGAAGGACTCATTCCTGCAGCGGCCACTACGTAAGTAAAGACATAGGCACCAAAATGCAGAATAAACTTAATTGGAGGAGTTCTTGAATAGTCCCCAATTGTTTATCTCCCATACATAGAAATTTAACTTGATCCAAACATTTGTCACCCCCCCTGTGATGTGTGAAGCAACTTTTTGTATCATTTCATGTATAAAGAAGCAAAGGCTCAGAGTTGTTTGTCCGGCGATACAGTTATTAATAGGTAGAAACAGGGATTCAAAACTTGGTTTGTCTGACTAGGATATAGGTGGTTGTTGACTCTGCTCCATCATGGGCTACTGCTAATGCCTATGATGCTCAGGGCTTATTAAGTTCTTAGGTCAGTGTCCAGCCACAGACAGTTATTGCTATCTATCTGGAATCCATTCACTAATAGGTTTGTTTTTGTCCCTACGGAGCTTACTGTATAAATACATTACAGTGTTCACAAATCCAGGGACAGGAGTGACAAGTAATACATGACTTGTCACCCTTTCATAGAAAGAAACCTTTTTAATGTCCCCCACCCTCTTTTTTTCCAGAAAAGAATTTAATGGTGCTTTACAAAAAACAAGGATAGGGAAAGATGATGAAGTTGATATGCCTGTATTTCTTAGGTTCAGTACACTTGATGGAGGAGAGCAAAAAAATTCATCTCTGAGCTTTCTAGTTGAGAGTGTAAAGAAACGGGCATCAGCCCTAGCTGGTTTTGCTAGGTAGATAGAGCCTGGGCATGCAGACTGAAGGGTTCCGGGTTCGATTCAGGTCAAGGGCACGTACCTCCTTTGTAGACTCCTCTCCTAACCTCCAACCGGGCCCTGGTGAGTGCTCTGCTTGTGCAGGAGGCAACCAACTGATGTGTTTCCCTCACATTGATGTTTTCTCTTTCCCTCTCTCATCCACTCTCTCTAAAAGTCGATGGAAAAATATCCTCAGGTGAGGATTAAAAGAAAGAAAGAAACAGCAACTTAAGGGTTGGGAAACTCAAACACCTACAGCGCCGGAGAGATAAACAATAGCTGACATGTATGAAGTAGTTTCTGCAGTGCCAGGCACTCTTCTAAGTGCTAACATGCACGAACTCATTTGCACCTCACCTTAGCCCAGTGGTCGGTAAACTGCAGTTTGCCGCCTTGTTACTAATGAGTTTGCCGCCCACTACCTTAGCCTTATTGATAGGTGTATTATTGTTGTTTTACGGACAGCAGGCTGAGAGAAGTTGAGTCACGTGCTCCAGGGTCATACAGCTGGTAAAGTGATGGGGCCAGGATGCAAACCTAGGCAGAGGGATTCTAGGGCCTGTGCTCTCTCTATCCTGCCTAGCGAGCCATGTGTAAGGAAAAACTGAACTTCCGAACACCTGCCCACGGAAAAGGGCAATAACTCTTCACCTCCAGTTAATCTTTGCCAGTTGGGGATGAAGGACAAGTCTTGTCAACTCTTCTATTTTGAGGGAGAAAATTACTATCTGAGCTAATACTGTGTAGATCAAACTAAACATACCTACAGGCCAAAGTAAAACGTATATACAGGCCATTCAAATTTCCTACAGTTATGATCTAGTACAATTCTGTTTCTGTGTCCTGACACTCACCTAGCAAATAACAATAATAACTAATACTGCTGTGTAAGTTCTGTATGATGTTCGCTATTATGATAATTATGTTTATATTATGTTCCAGCCACATATCCATTTAGGAGTTAAAGGATGGACACAGACATACAGAACTAACAGATGCCCAGCAAGTACTGATGTTAAACAAACTCCTTAGTTATTCACCTCATTTACAAGGATTGTTTTAAAAGTCACTTGCTCCAACAAATTGGTTTTGATAGCTCTGGCCATCTTATTCCTCTGGAGTTAAAAGGCAGCATTGAGAGGTGGGATTTCCAGAACTATGTGCTTAGATAGGGAAGGACAGAGGGAGGAGAAAGATGTTTAGCCTTAGGATTGAACATAGAAAGTGGGATGGCTAGAGAATTGGGAGTTGGCATATAATGAAGTTGGGTGTCAGTGTTCCTCAAATAGTACCGAATTGTTAGCCATATAATTTAACACATCCTGCTCACTGAGATAGTAAAAATCAGGAATTGTAAGCCATTAGGATCGGCTGAATAGTTCAGGTCGATGTCAGCACATTCAGTGCATGCTTTATGCACTTGGTGCAAGGGAAACAATAAACAAGGTCCAGCCCTAGAGGAACTTACCACCTAGGAGGCAAGACATGCACATTAATAACTGGCACAGGTATAAATGGATGTACTGTAATATCTGCAGAAGCAACATGATGTGCTTGTCCAACTGCAGAGCACTGAACACCAGTATAGACACTATCCCCGCTCTACAGAGTTTGCATTCTAGCGGATTACAAAAACAGTAAACAGCCCTGACTGGTTTGGCTCAGTGGATAGAGCGTTGGCCTGCGGACTGAGGGGTCCCAGGTTCAATTTCAGTTAGGGGCATGTGCATTGGTTGCAGGCACATCCCCAGTGGGGGTTGTACAGGAGACAGCTGATTCATGTTTCTCTCTCAATGATATTTCTAGCTCTCTATCCCTTTCCCTTCCTCTCTGTAAAAAATCAATAAAATATGTTTTTGTGTTTTTTTTTTAAAGACAGTAAACTGTTAATTAGAATAGAATTGGGGGTCATTGCAAAGAATAAACCCAGTGGACTTGAGTATTAAAAGGACATACTGAAGGATTTTAGAGAGCATTCTCTGAGAACATCTTTCTGAAAAGGTGGCATTTAATGTTCCATTGATACATGCAGACCATTGCTCTGAGCAGCATGTGATTTCTTCTCATGTAGGGTCAGTTCTTTAAAAACCATAGTTCTAAATTTGCCATATAGTAAACTACATTCTGTCAGTCATAGTCATGTGACTAACAGTAATGGCAAAGGCAGGAGGAGGTGACTGTGAATTAGTTATTTTGCATTTTAACTATTTTTGTACTATAATTTGTTGCCAGATGGTAACCATTTCTCTATAAGGTTATTTTGATCAAAGCAAAGGGGTGATTTAAACTAATATAGTTTAGTATAGTGAAGGGAACTTGGACCAGGAAACAAGGACCCCAGGCTCTGGTTCTGCTGGTTAGTTTTGTGGCTGAACTATTTGGTCCTCAGTTCTTTTACTCTCTAAAGTAAGATGATTGTATTAAATGTCTAGTAGTGTTTCCAATATAATATTCTGTGATATTTTATAGTTTATTAGCCTTTACTTTGAAGAATTTATAGATTATTTATGTATTTATTTTAATTCTCATCTGAATATTATTGATTTGAGAGAGAGAGAAAAATACCGATGTGAGAAAGAAACATGTCTCAGTTATCTCCCCTAGGAGCCCTGACCTGGGATCAAACCCAAAACCTAGATATGTGCCCTTACTAGAAATTGAATCCTCAGCCTTTTGGTGTGGAGGCCAACACTCCAACCGACTAGGCCACCAGTACTATAGATTTGTTTTTTGTTTTTTTAAATATATTTTATTGATTTTTTTTAGAGAGGAAAAGAGAGGGATAGAGAGCTAGAAACAACGATGTGAGAGAAACATCGATCAGCTGCCTCCTGCACACCCCCTACTGGGGGTGTACAACCAAGGTACATGCAACCAAGGTACATGCCCCTGACCGGAATCGAACCCGGGACCCTTCAGTCCTCAGGGCGACGCTATCCACTGAGCCAAACCGGTTTCGGCTATAGATTTGTTTTTTTGTTCTTTTCCTCTCATGGACATTTAGCCAGCATTTATTGTATACATGAATCTGTAGAGCTTTCAGAACTGCTGCTCCCCTTTGCATAGGAAACATTGTTAAAATGTTAGTAATCATCTATGTTTAAGATTCAATTAAATAAGTTCAAACAATGGCTTTACAGTACATATTCTGCTGCATAGAAAAGTCATAGTTTAAAAGTTACCTTGACAAATATGGAAACAGTATTTTTGAAAAGTCCAAACATTATTTGTACTTAATTCAAAAGCTGTTTAGTTAGTTTCTCTCATCAGTAAAAGAATATTCACGTGTTATCCATAAATGGTCATTAAAATAAATATTTTTCCACATTAGAAAAACAATTTCTAAATAAAACCCTCCTCATTGCTTCCAATTCATTCAGTGTTAATATCAGTATCTTTTTAAAAAATATATTTTATTGATTTTTTTTTTTTTAGAGGGATAGAGAGTTAGAAACACCGATGAGAGAGAATCATCGATCAGCTACCTCTTGCACACCCCCTTCTGGGGATGTGCTTGCAACCAAGAGTCAAACCTGGGACCTTTCAGTCCACAAGCTGACGCTCTATCCACCGAGCCAAACCTGTTAGAGCAATATCATTATCTTAAATGCAGAGTTTTTTTTTTTGAGGTAGGTTGGTATTGTTTTTATCAAAATGTGTGCTTCCTTATAGGATGACTTATTTTAGCCCTGATGTGTTATCATTTAGGTTTATATTGTTTGAATTTTGTTGTTTTTCATTTCTTAATATGTCCCAGGAAGAATGTTTTGTTTTTGCAAATGAGGTAGTGGTTATTATCAGTAGGCAAAAAAGGGTGTAGTTCATTTGGATCAGAATCTGTTTAAGAGCTGACTTGATTTAGCAACTGTTGGTATTGCCAACTGGTCTTCATTTCTCTTCAGCTTTCTTGCTTGCTTGCTATTTATTTATTTATTTATTTTAGAGAGAGAAAGGGGGATAAATAGATAACAGTCTCTTCCTGCATGCACCATGACCAGGAATCAAACCTTCCACCTTTTTGTGTGCATAATGATGCTCCAGGCAACTGAACCGAACTAGTCAGGGCAATTATTTATTTTTAAAGCCATTGATGAATTAAAACAGGGTTTTCTATCTTTTATCATCAAATATCCTTTTTAATTTCTTCTCAAAAATTCATAATTTAAAATATTTGTTATGAAATTTATAAAGAAAATTTATTTTCCTATTATTATTTAAAGACACATGTGACTGCCAGTTAAGAATCTCTGTTTAGAATAAGATAAACAAACTGATGTTACTGCACTGAGTTGGTAAATTAGAATTCAAAACATAGACTTGATGTTTTGCCCAGGTGCTAAATCATTGTTGTTCTGTATTTACTTTCTCTTAGGTATTTTGAAATGTTAAAGGAAGCTTATGGGCCCCAAGTTGGAAATCACTGACTATGAAATCCCTGGGAAAAGCAAGCATTATCATGAAAAGTACAAAAGTAGTTATGGAGTATCGGTAGTCCTTTTCCTCTAAAATAGGATGCTGACTTTCTTTTCGGTGTCAGAAACATCTCATTTTAGCCTAGTTATTTGTTTTTTGTATTGGTGATGTTCATTGTTAATTTTAATTTTTTATTTTAGGAAGGAAGACTTCAAGAAGTCATTGAAACCCTTCTCTCTTTGGAAAAACAGACCCGTACTGTGAGTAGATTATAGTGCAAAACCTCAGTTGCCAATAATTTCATTTAACATGGATCCATTAACTTTGGAAATCTGTTCATTTTTACAGGCTTCTGATATGGTGTCTACATCCCGTATCTTAGTTGCAGTAGTGAAGATGTGTTATGAGGCTAAAGAATGGGATTTACTTAATGAAAACATCATGCTTTTGTCGAAAAGACGGAGTCAGTTAAAACAAGTAAGTCATGATTGCTCAAAAATAAATACATTTGCATTTATTTATTTATTTATTTTAATCTTGTTGAAAGTATTACCTATGTCCCCCTTTTCCCCTCATTAACCCTCTCAATATATTTGCATTTAAATAAGGACTTTCAGAAAACCTTTCTGTGAATCTGTTTTAAATCTGTTAAATCAACATTCTAAGAGTTTAAAATTCTGTCGATATTCTCATAACTGCTTTTATTTTGTTTCTTCTTCTAGTCTTTATATATTTACAACTTTTAGTGAGTGTTGATACAGCTTTGGTATATTTCCATGTCGTTCCATATCTTCATGTTTATAATTTTAAATGATTCTGTTATAATCATTTTAAAAAGTTTTCTGACCCCTGACCTAGATGGAATATTAGAGCTGAAAGAAATTAGTCTAACCTGCTTATATTAACTATGAGGAAACGGTGGGTGGGGTGCAAGAGATGCTGTTCTTTCACTATCACATTTTATCAAAATGAATATGGATGGCTGAAACCGGTTTGGCTCAGTGGAAGAGCATCGGTTTGAAGACTGAAAGGTCCCAGGTTCAATTCCGGTCAAGGGCATGTACATTGGTTGCGGGCTCATCCCCAGTAGGGGGTGTGCGGGAGGCAGCTGGTCGATGTTTCTCTCTCATCGACGTTTCTAGCTCTCTGTCTCTCTCCCTTCCTCTCTGCAAAAAAAAATCAATAAAAGTATATTTTTTAAAAAAATGAATATGGTGACTGTGGCTCTTCCCCAACCAGATGATGGAACTGTTTTACCTTCTGCCTCTGCCACTGACTCAGAAAATCATATTATCTGCTGGTCTTTGCCTCACTTCTTTCATAGCCAAAGTTGAACTCTGCTTTTCTTTTTCATCATCATCATCATTATTATTATTATTTTGTCTTTATTCTGTTTCATTTCTTCTTTTTAAAAAAATTTTTTTTATTGACTTCAGAGAGGAAGGAAGAGGGAGAGAGATAGAAACATCCATGATGAGAGAGAATCTTGGATCAGATGCCTTCTACAAGTCCCCCACTGGGGATCGAGCCGATAACCTGGGCATATGCCCTTGACTGGAATCGAACCTGGGACTTTTCAGTTTGCAGGCCGATGCTCATGCACTGAGCCAATGCTCTATCCACTGAGCCGAGCCGGCTAGGGCTTTAATTTCTTCTATGTTTTTGCTTGATTGCAAAAAAAGCTAGCTAGCAAGCCTTCCAGTAGATATGGCCAGGCATGCCTTTTCCATCTTTCCTTTTGCATAATCAGTTCACCAGTTGTAGTGAGGAGGGCACAGTCTTGCACCGGAGGGTTCCCTATATTGATTTGTTCCTAGGTATTCAGTACTTCTCAACTATCAGGGAGGTTTTAATGTTCTTTGGTGTTCTTTTTATAGGCTTTTCCGTGTGTAAAGTTGTTTGTGAAGACCAAATTTAACCACAGCACTTCCATCAATAACATACTTCCCTTTCCTGTATGAGGAATGAATTTTATTTATGAGTGATTTTTATTATTTTAGGCTGTTGCAAAAATGGTTCAACAATGCTGTACTTACGTTGAGGAAATCACAGACCTTCCGATTAAACTTCGATTAATTGATACTTTACGAATGGTTACAGAAGGAAAGGTGAGTTGTCAATTGGTATAACTCATGGTGATAAGCACTCTCTTATTGTATTCAGAGATACTTTATACTATATTTAGACATTTTCTATTAGTATGTAAATATAAGGTTAATTCTTCACCCTGGCCTGAATCTGCTTGAAAAGTCTATGTTTGGAATAGCTAAGGTTTCACTCTAATATTTAAATAGTGAAGAGTATTTACAGGGTGAGATTAATTTTCAAAATTTACTATGATGTCATCCTCCCCACCCCCAAACTCCTAATATTATATTTCTCTAAAAAAGGGCAAATACAGAATAGTGACTGTGGTAGATACGTTTCTTTCTAGATAGATTTTTGTGGTTTGAAGACAAAAACTTAGCTTGTATTTAACTTTTTGTCTCTTTAACTATCAGTTCAGTTCAATAAATGTTATTGAGTACCTCTATTGTGTTAGGTCCAAAATGAGCAAGAACTATTCTTTTACCTCAGAGAGATCAATTATAAAAATAATTACGGGGCTGTGTCATGACACTTTGTAGTGCTCTGTAGCACAGAGGTAGGGATTGACTGGGTGAGGTGCCCAGGGAAGCTTCAAAGAGTTGATAGCTGAGCTGGCTTTTTAAGAATGAGTAGAAATTCTGCAGGGCCAGGGGTAGGGAAAAGGGCATTTTACACATAGGGAAGATAATATACAGAAAAATCAAAGTAAGAAATACCTCATATATTTAGGAAACTAAGTAGTCTCTTATTGGAGATTAAGGCTTTGGGGGTGGATTGGGGAAAGGCGAGTTGCTTCAGGGCAAAGGCTAAACGGGCAAGCCTTAACATGAAAATTATTTTTCTAGGCTGTAAGTTATGTAGTTATAGTTTCAGTGTTTAATTGGTTGGAAGTTACAAATCTATTACTTATAGCTACAAAAAATGCTAGTAACTTCAATACTTATCAAGATTAGATTGAAATACCTATATGTCTGATATATATATTTAAATATATTTTTATTGAATTCAGAGAGGAAGGGAGAGGGAGAGAGAGATAGAAACATCAGTGATGAGAGAGAATTATTGATTGGCTGCCTCTAACCCGGGGCCCTTCAGTCCTCAGGCCAATGCTCTAACCACTAAGCCAAACCAGCTAGGGTGAGATCAGATATTTTTAAAGGAAGTAGCATTGTATTTAAAGATCAATCAGAATTAGAGCATTGGTTGAATTGTGGCTACTAGACTGTGCTCTTTGTAAAGGATATTTTTCAAGTAATCAATCTTTTTAAAGGTACTTTTTGTTTTCTGTGCCACTTATGTAGCATGTAGTCTGTCATTCATTAAACACAGTGATTTTATATTTAGGTTCTCAAAGCAAAGCTCCTAATGTTTTATAGACATTTTCTTAAAAATTGTGTGATTGTGAAGTATAAAATACCATATAGCTCTGCTTGTACATGGAGGATAAAGTACACAATACCTCCAAAATAAATACTCTGCCTAGTTTGAATAATAGTTTTACTCTATCTTTAAAATTTTGATATATTTCTATAGGGATTTTGGTAACTATAATAAATTTCTTGTATTTGTAGATCTATGTTGAAATTGAACGTGCTCGACTAACTAAAACATTAGCAGCTATCAAAGAGCAAAGTGGTGACGTCAAAGAGGCAGCCTCCATTTTACAAGAGTTACAGGTAAGATGCTGCATTATAGAGTGTGTGGAACTTTATGTTTAGTCAGCATTATTTTCTTGTAGAAATAGCTTTTTTGGCACTTATATTTTTCTTTTTAAAAAAAAATATATTTTATTGATTTTTTATAGAGGAAGAGAGAGGGATAGAGAGTTAGAAACATCAATGAGAGAGAATCATTGATCAGCTGCCTCTTGCACACCCCCTACTGGGGATGTGCCCGCAACCAAGGTACATGCCCTTGACCGGAATCGAACCTGGGACCTTTCGGTCCGCAGGCTGATGCTCTATCCATTGAGCCAAACCGGTTTCGGCGGCACTTATTTTTTTCTGAAGCATCAAGAATTAGAGTGAATACAGTAGAGTGTGGGGTTATTCAAGTAGCTGGAAATAGAGTAATTATGATCCCAAATACATTTAACTTCTAAAGAAATATTGCTTATATTTTTATTGATTTTCGGAGAGGAACAGAAAGGGGGAGATAGATAGAAACCTCAATGATGACAATCATTGATTGGCTGCCTATTGGGGATCAAGCACACAACCCAGGCATGTGCCCTTGACAGGAGTCGAACCTGAGACCCTTCAGTCCGCAGGCCAATGTTCTATCCACTGAGCCAAACCAGCTAGGGCTCTAAAGAAGTTTTAAAGATAAATTAGGATAATCTAATTTATTAAGTTAAAAAAAACCCCACACCTTGATTTTGTGCTATTATTTGAACATTTTAATTCTCAGAATTTAAATAAAATCAATATTTCATATGTCATTTACTTATGCCTTAAGAATTTGCTATTAATTATTGGCTTTGTTCTTAATTAATATTTAATTGGTGGTCAATTCTTAAGAGAACCTTAAAATGAGATATCAAAGAGCTAAAGAAATCTGAGAAAAACCATAGACTGTCTCACCAGAAAAATGTACATGAACTATGCTCAAAATTTAGCTTCTAGCCCTGGTTGGTGTGCTCAGTGGTTAGAGTATTGACACATACACTAAAAGGTTGCAGGTTCGATTCCCAGTCAAGGACACATACCTGGGTTGTGGGTTTGCTCCAGCTCCCAGTCCAGGGCACGTACTGGAGGCAACCAGTTGATGCGTCTGTCTCACATTGATGTTTCTCTATTCCCATCCCCACCCCCACTCCTTTCACTCTCTTCTGAAAGTGGTTACACAAATTTATGAATGTGTTAAAATTCATGAAACTTGGGGACCCTTTCTCCTTCCCTATGTGGGAATCCATTCTGTGGGACTCTTTCCCTCTCTCCACATGCGAATCTATACTTGTTCTTCAATAAATCTCCACCTTTGCTATACAAAAAAAAAAAAAAAAATTTTTTTCATGGAGCTTTACACCTGGAGGAAACTAGCTTTCTATATCATCATCAGCAGCAGCAGCACTCTCTAAAAATGTGTGAATGTTCTTACTATTTATCAAGGGTGAATTTTTTTTTAAACATATTTTATTGATTTTGTACAGAGAGGAAGAGAGATAGAGAGCTAGAAACATCGATGAGAGAGTCATCGACCAGCTGCCTCTTGCACACCCCCTACTGGGGATATGCCCGCAACCAAGGTACATGCCCTTGACCGGAATCGAACCCGGGACCTTTCAGTCCCCAAGCCAATGCTCTATCCATTGAGCCAAACCGGTCTCGGCAAGGGTGAATATTTTAATATGTATTTAATGCTATAGAGTTTTTAAATATTATAATTTGGGGATCTCCTCTTCTAGGTGGAAACCTATGGGTCAATGGAAAAGAAAGAGCGAGTGGAGTTTATTTTGGAGCAAATGAGGCTCTGCCTAGCTGTGAAGGACTACATTCGTACACAGATCATCAGCAAGAAAATTAATACCAAATTTTTCCAGGAAGAAAATACAGAGGCAAGTATATATCTCAATATTAATTTACTTTAAAAATGTTTAGAGGAAAAAAAATAAACCCCAATTTACCTTGTCAACTTTTTCTTTTTTCAGAAATTAAAGTTAAAATATTATAACTTAATGATTCAGCTGGATCAACACGAGGGCTCCTATTTGTCTATTTGTAAGCACTACAGAGCAATATATGATACTCCCTGTATACAGGCAGAAAGTGAAAAGTGGCAACAGGTAAAAACATATTCTCTCTCTCTCTCTCTCTCTCTCTTTCTTTTTTTTCTTTTTTTTTTTTTTAATATATTTCATTGAGTTTTTACAGAGAGGAGGAGAGAGGGATAGAGAGCTAGAAACGTCGATGAGAGAGAAACATCGACCAGCTGCCTCTTGTACACCCCCTACTGGGGATGTTCCCACAACTAATGTACATGCCCTTGACCGGAATCGAACCTGGGACCTTTCAGTCCGAAGACTGAAGCTCTACCACTGAGCCAAATCGGTTTCGGCTAAAAACATATCCTTATACTTGCCTTATGAGGAACAATTTGCATTTTTAAATTTATTATAAAATAATTTTTAACTTCAGTAATTATATGCAATTTTATAATGTTGCTTTGTATTCACTGTGTTGGTAATTCAGTTTATTCTTACTGATTCAGACATGCTGTGGTAATCCTCTACCACCTTGAAAGAAATAGAATTACTGTTAAAAATATATGGCCTGGCCAGTGTGCTGCAATGGTTAAATATCAACCTGTGAACCAGGCGATCAGGGTTCGGTTCCAGTCAGAGCTCGGGCTAGGTTGCTGACTTTATCTCAATAGGGGCTTGTAGGAAGAAGTGATCAGTGATTCTCTCTCATCATTGATGTTTCTATTTCTCTCTTTTTCTCCCTTCCTCTCTGAAATCAATTAAGTGTGTGTGTGTGTGTGTGTGTGTGTGTGTGTGTGTGTGTTATGTACAGCAGGTCACCTGCTAGCAAGGTTACAGATAAAGACCTTTTACTTTGGAAAATTGTTAAATGTGTATTCCATATAATTTTGTTATAAGAACTATTTCTTTTATACATTTGTTTTAAAAATAGCACAGGAAGTAATTCAAATTGGCAAAGATTTTTTAGTACAATGTTAAAAATGAATATATATATATAATTTCATTATTTCTTAGTTCCCTCCAAAATTTTCATTGTTTCTAATTGTGCATATAATCTATTATGTTGTGCAACTGTTTCAGGCTCTGAAAAGTGTTGTCCTCTACGTTATATTGGCTCCTTTTGATAATGAACAGTCAGATTTGGTTCACCGAATAAGTGCTGACAAGAAGTTAGAAGAAATTCCTAAATATAAGTAAGTACCTTTATAATTAGCCTAATATACCTCAGTAGAAGCATCATTTTGAAAGAAAATTAGTTAACTTAAATGTACACTTAATTGGCTGCTGATAGATTGTATTAGAGAATAAAATTGGAGATAATAATAAAATGTTTTTATATTTCTGCATTAGAAATTAATGTAATGAGATGATTGCATACTTTATTCTAAACCACTTATCAAGTAGAGGTTTTATTTCAGGCTAATTTTAGCAGCTTCTGTTTAATTAACCATTTGATGAAGTTTTTATCATCAGTAGTTGGGGCTTTATGATTTCCTGAAGTACATACTTCTGAAAACCTATTATATAAAACAGATGTACATTTCATAAGCACAATGGGCTTTTATTTTCTATGTTATTTTTCTTTTATCTGTTTCATTTAAAAGGTTATATTCATTAGTACAGAGATTGGCAAATACAAGATAGTGGAGAGCAGAATGTTAAGCATGGGAATATTATATTCAGAATTACTATGGGAGAAAATGGTAGCAAAATTAGTAACATTAATAATCTACTTGGCTCTTTTTCTGCAAATAAAAATTTATTTTAAAAGTCTGTTGATGTTTAAATTCTTATTATATTGGATGAAAGTTATTTTACAGAATTGGAATATTAAGTTTTATACCATTTACAGGGATCTATTAAAGCTTTTTACTACAATGGAGTTGATGCGTTGGGCTACACTTGTCGAAGACTATGGAGTGGAATTAAGAAAAGGTTCTCTGGAAAGTCCTGCAACTGATGTTTTTGGTTATACAGAAGAAGGTGATAAAAGGTGGAAAGACTTGAAGAATAGAGTTGTTGAACATGTAAGGATCTGGAATGATAAAGATGACAATTCAAAAGTCAAGTTTAGCGAATTTGAGCATAAATTTTTATGTTTGATAATTAAATGAGTTAACATACTTCATTTTGAGAGGACCTCTCAAGAATCCAAAATTTTTCTAGCACATATAGCAGAAGGAATTTCTTAATGTGAGGGATGATGTGAATGGGGAGAATGTTTTCTATCTGAAACTCCCTTGGTAGTTTTGGAAATGGGTAACATATCTTAAACCTGCCCTTTCTTCTTGGTATCAGTTGTGCCAGCATTCATTCATATAACAAACACATTTATTATGAGCCCTCTAGTCCCAGACAGACACTACCGAGTGCTGGACATAGAAGAGAGTAAAGCATGGTTGCTATCTTAAAAAACTTAAAAATAAATCACAGGGAAGGCACATTTAGAAGTAAAAGCATTATAGATATTGTGGTACAGGTGTATATAGAGAGGGGAGCATAAGGAGAGAGTTGATTGGCTCTACCTGGAAGAGTAGACAGGTTAGATACATAGGCATTGATGCAGAAGATATGATTTGTAAGAAGAATATGTAGCCCTAATAGGTTTGGCTCAGTGGCTAGAGCACCGGCCTGCGGACTGAAGGATCCCAGGTTCTATTCTGGTTAAGGGCATGTACCTTGGTTACGGGCACATCCCCAGTAGGGAGTGTATGCAGGAGGCAGCTGAATCAATGTTTCTCTCTCATTGACGTTACTAACTCTATACCTCTCCCTGTGAAAAATCAATAAAAATATTTTTTAAAAAGAAAAAGAAGAGTATGTAGTTAGCAGGTAAAGAGAGAGCAATTCCTTTGGGCATATGAGATAATCCCAGCAAGGGCATAGAAGCACATTCCAGCAGGGGAACTTGGGGACCTCCAAGAAAAAGGTCCAGTGGGAAAGGAAGTTGGAGATGTCGTAAGGGTCTGCATCACAACAAAGATTGTACACACACAGGAAGACTTTTGAGAGGATAATGGCCAGGCTTGTATTTTACAAAGATTCCTCTGGGAGTAAGCGTGGGAATAGATTTGGAGAAAGAAAAGACAAGATGAGAAGATTAGTTACGTGAGGGGCTGTATGGGTTTGAATTAAAGCAATAACCACGGTATTGAAGATGACAGATGGAATGGAATCATTTTAAGAAAGAAAATCAATAGAATTTGGTTATTGATTAAATTTAAGGATAGAGGAAAGGGAAGGGGCTAGAATAGTTCTCACACTTCCTAAGAGGTTAGTGCTGCCATTGACCCTGATAGAGTTGAGAAGAGATGCAACTTATTAAAAGATGAGTTCATCCCTAGTGGTTTGGCTCAATGGATAGTGTCGGCCTGTGGACTGAAGGTTCCCTGGTGATTCCATCACGAGCACAATGATTTCCTGTCATCATTGATGTTTCTATCTCTTCTCCCTTGCTGAAATCAATAAAAAATATATTAAAAAAAAAAAAAAGATATAGCCCTAGCCGGTTTGGCTCTGGATATAACGGCCTGCGGACTGAAAGGTCTCAGGTTTGATTCTAGTCAAGGGCTCATGACTGGGTTGCAGGCTTGGTCCCCAGTGGGAGGCGTGCAGGAGGCAGCCAATCAATGATTCTCATCATTGATGTTTCTATCCCTCTCTCTTCCTCTCTGAAATCAATAAAAATATATATATATATATTTTTAAAAGATGAGTTCATTTTTCTCCCCACTGTTCCCACATTTCCTTTTATTCTGTTAATAATATTGAGAATAATAAAGAGGAATCTAAGTTTAGTACCATTTCCAGTGAAAATTAGGGATTTTATTTCAAATCACCTTTAAATAGTTATAGTGATGATTAAAGTGATGTTTGAGGTGATCTCACTTTTTAAAAATGTTAACCTTTTAAAAATTAGTCATAATTAGGAAAAGCTTAACTTTAGTTTCTTGCATATAGCAAATATATTTTAGTACAATTACAATTTTTTTGTCACTAATTTATTTAAGATAAACATATTTTGACTATATTTTAAGAGAGTTGTGGAGAGTATTCAGAATAATTTGCAAATAAGTGTAGAAACCAAAATACATTCCAGTTGTGGGCTATGGAAAAAGTAAAAACTTTGAATCTGACATTTTAACTAAACCTATTAGGGTTTGAAAATAAATGGACTTGTAGCGTTACTGACAACTGTTGTGTTCTCGTTGTCTACTCTCTTCTCCCCAGAATATTAGAATAATGGCCAAGTATTATACAAGGATAACAATGAAGAGGATGGCACAACTTTTGGATCTATCTGTTGATGTAAGTAGTGAACTTCATTGTTTTATTTGTAGCCATTGATTTTAAATATCAATCGACTTATAAAAATCAAGTGAGGTAATCAATTTTGTTTTATTTAACTTTAAATTTAGGCGATAAGTTTCCTCAAGCTATCTGAAGTACCAAAAAATTGCTTAAATACTTTTTATAGTTACATTAATATTGTCACTTAAATATGTTAGTTTTCCATTGATTAATTTGAAGTTCAAGGTATATGTTCTATAATAAATAGGTTTAGGTTCACAAAAGTGAACTGTAGAAGTAAAAGATATGAGGGAGACTTGACTATAGTTCACTTGAAACGGTCCCAGGACGTGATAGAGAGGTTTCGTTTTCAGATCTGGATTTCATGTTGATAAAATGTACAGCACCAAAGAAATCGGCGGTCAGTGAAATGCGCAGTAATGGTTTGAAAAGCCGTTTCTGTAACCAGAGGTGGCTGCGGCAGTTTAGCTGGAAAAGAAGAATCATGGAGTGTTAGAAGGTTGACTGTTGGTTAATTCATTAGCACTTCTCATATCTGGATGAGGTAAAGAGTCCTTAGAAGCAAAATGCCTTATCCATGGCTAATAGTTGCCAAGTATTAAATCACTACCCCGACATTTCTGGAAACTTTGGGAGTAGATTCATACTTGAACCTGACTCTGAGTGGACTCAGAGTCCATTCATCCCTAGATTCTCAGTAAAATCTGTACATTATTATAAGAAATCAGCAGTTGCTAATTATTATTTATGAATTTTAGCCCTGCATATTCTTAAGTGAAGAGTTTAGAAAATGCTTTCCTTAAATTCTGTTTATTATCTATAATTATCTGGTATTAATCCAATTTGTCTTTCTCTTACAGGAGTCAGAGGCTTTTCTCTCAAATCTCGTAGTAAACAAGACCATCTTTGCTAAAGTAGACAGGTTGGCAGGAATTATCAACTTCCAGAGACCCAAGGATCCAAATAATTTATTAAATGACTGGTCTCAGAAATTGAACTCATTGATGTCTCTAGTTAACAAAACTACACACCTCATAGCCAAAGAGGAAATGATACATAATCTACAATAAGGGTCTCAATGCCCTACTGCTTTTAGAAAAGAGTTAACGTTGGAAGTCATTAAAAAAAAAAAAGAAAAGACTTATGGTGTATATGTTGGGTTCTTTTTTCCTGTTCTCAACTCTTTGTCTAAAATTTAAAATATAGTGAATATGTTTGAGGCCCCTTTTTAACCTTTCAGCTCCCTAATTTCATTGTTAACTTTTCATTTGCAATTGGTACCAAAATAGAATACATTTCTATTGTCTGAGTGCTCAAAACATGGTGTCATAACTTGCCCAGATGTTTTTTTCTATCGTTTGAAACCTTTTTAGCTATTATTTGTTTTTATTCTGCTAACAACCATAATGATAATAAAAGCAGTATATGCACATTTATTTCCTATGGTTACATGTGTTTCTGAACATTTTATGGGGTAGTGATTTAAGTGTTTGTTTGTTTTTAAATAAATTCTGTTGTAAATCTATGAATTAGTAGATTTTTAAAAAGATTTAAAAATATATATATTTTTATTGATTTCAGAATAAGGGAGAGAGAACGAGAGAGAGAGATCAATGATTAATCATTGATTGATTGCCTCATGCATGCCCCCTACTGGGGATCAAGCCTGCAACCCATGCATGTCCCCTTTTGACAGGAATTGAACCCAGGACCCTTCAATCCACAGTCCGATGCTCTATCCATTGAGCCAAATCAACTAGGGTTGGGGTTTTTTTTTTTTAGATTTTTAAAATTTTTATTCATTTTTAGAGAGGAAGGAAGGGAGAGGGAGATATTCCTGCGTTCCACCTACTGGGAATGGAGCCCACAACCCAGGCATCCCCTGACCAACTAATGCTAACTAATCAGCAACCTTTCGGTGCACATGACAGTGCCCAGCCAGCTGAGCACTCTGGCCAGAGCTATTTAGAAGAATTGTAAAAGCAACATAGAACATAAAGGAACATTTGTGGTTTGTGAAGAATTTGTATTTTAGTGCTGTGGTGAAGTCTCTAGCCTGAGGTGTATGGGGGAGCTATTTGGTAAGCTATATAGACTTTCTAAATCTTTTTTCTTTTTTAGGGAGGTCTACTGGCTTTAATCACAGTAGCTTATTTTTACCCTCTTCTCCTAACCACCAGTTTTTTAACAAAATCAAGTGTGTGTGTTGGCACAATTTAACACAACAAAACCATTTGTTTATAAAACTTTGTGGCTTTAACTTAATATATCTGATTGCATCATGAATGCCCCAAATTCATTCTCTCTCTATAGGAACTTTAGTTCCTTTGAACACTGGATAACAACCTAAAATGCTTAGAAAATGACCCTCCCAAAAAGACTTCAGGCCACTCTCTTACCAAATGGGATAGTACTGACATTTTTTAAGAATTAAAAATAGTTTCACTGTCAAAAGGAACATCTGAGATCAATTAACATGAGCAAATTTTGGAAGTTTTTAAAATCTATTTCAGAGAAAAATGAAATAATGTTAGGTTATTTAAAATGATGTTAAATGAAGAAAGTCAGGCTACTTTTTATAAAATACAAATGTAGAGAGGGAAACATTCCTCAATTCATTTTCCATATAATGGTCACTAAATTGTCCCATGATCCCATGGCTAAGGACAATTTGTGGGACCTCTACTATTTATGCTGAGTCAGTGTGAATAATATTAATCTAATTTTATTCTTTAGAAATGTAATGTATTGGTCACATTAATAACATCTGCTATCACTTATCTTTAAAAACGAACCAAAAATATTGCAAGTTCAGAAACATTTACTTCACACTAGCAGTAAGAATATGGTTTTGTTTTAATTTTGAGTGAAAAAGATAGAAAATAAAATTATTTTGCATTGTTAATTTGTAAATTGAATTGGCTCCAGTTAGAATTTAGCTTCTCATTAATTTACTCATTCCCTTTGTATCTGCCAAACCTAGACTCTTTGGCCAAATACGTGGCTGTAAAGACCTCAAATGCTCCTCTTTTTATTTAATGTGCTCACCCTCAGCGAAGCTCCTTGTGTGTTCTGATTTGCTGCCACTTGTTAACTGTGTCCCAGTGACCCAGTCCCAGTTGACTTGCTTAACTGCTCATCCATTTCTTGTTTTTTTTTTTTTTTTTTCTGTCCAAACAAATTTAAGAGTTATTACCAACTTCTTAATGTTGCAAAGAAGAATCTATTAACCTAGGGTGGTAAAATATTTGTGATATATTTTTTTTTTAAACCTCAAATCCTGTTTTACATTTCAGATCTAAACCATAATTCATGAAAAGGACAGCCACTTTATTTTTTTAATTTTATTTTATTGATTTTATACAGAGAGGGAGAGAGATAGAGAATCAGAAACATCGATGAGAGAGTCATCGATCAGCTGCCTCTTGCACACCCCTACTGGGGATATGCCCGCAACCAAGGTACATGCCTTGACCAGAATCGAACCCGGGACCCTTCAGTCCCCAAGCCTACGCTCTATCCATTGAGCCAAACCGGTCCCGGCAGCCACTTTATTTTAAATAAGAAGTTAACACTTAACTCATCATTTTCATGATTAGGTTACTAACCAACAGGAGAGGCGATGAGCTTCTGTTTTTAGGATTTTTAAAAAGTGAAATACCTTTTATTTCTACATAACATGTTTTTATTTTAGAGTTCGTTAGCTATTTCTGTATCTCAGTTTCCATATCTTGTTACTGAATCATTAAAAACCTCCTCTTTAAAATTCATACTGTTTCAATCTATCTCTTATAAGTGTCAAATGTATGATAAAAATACTTATTTTATGTTGTTTTCAACTCCTGGATTTAGCTGCAATAAAAGCACCAAATTGTGGGTATTTAAGAAAACCTGGACAATAAACTCATACTTTAAAAAAATTACTTTTTTAATTCTCTTGCTGTTTAAAACCAACAAAAATTGATAATTTTCATTTTTTTTTTAAATCATGTTATCTCTCTCCACTTGTTCTTAAGTAGTGGGAAAACATTTTGCATTTATTGGCTCCCCTCCTACCCCCATCTCCCCAAAGTCTTTCTAATTTGGGATTGGGGACAGGCCATGCCTACTTGTGCTTTTGACCAGTGGTTGTCCAACTCAGCACACATCAAAATCACCCCATAGGGCGTGTTACCACACAGATTGCCTGACCTCCGCCCCAGAGTTTCTGATCAGGAGGTCTGGGGTGGGACCCAATGATTTTCATTTCTAACAAGTTCTTGAATGATGCAGATGCAGGTGATCCATAGATCACACTTGGAGAACCACTCCTCCAGACAGCACTCCTTGGAGTAAATATAGAAATAACTATGTTGGGGTTTTTAAAAGTATTTTTCTGAGAAAAAAGATACGGAGTGACCATGGACATACAGTGAAGTTAGGATTATGCTACAGAGTGATGCTTATCCAGTGCCTTTGTTTTTGAATCTAGTGATGAAACTGGTTTTGTTGTGTTTCTTGAGATGTGGAGAAATGCTCTCCCTTTTTCAGTGGAATAAAACAATGTTCCAAACTTGGAGCCTAATAATTGCTATGTTGATAGAATTGAATGACATCTCTTTGAAGACTGCAGGAGTTTCATCGTCTACTATTTTCTCTCTGTAGGATTGGGAGCCCTTTTTATCTTTTCCCAGCCCTCAATAACTTCTGCTTTCTGTCTCTGAATTTGCCTACTCTAGATACTTCATACAAGTGAAATCATACAATATTTGTCCTTTTGTGTCTGGCTTATCTCACTTAATGTCTTCAAGGTCTATCCATTTTGTAGCATGTATCAGAACAGTGCATGGTTAAGGGCATTCCATTATATGCATATATCACATTTTGTTTATCTGTTGATGGTCTTTTGTGTTGCCACCTTTTGGCAACTGTGAGTAGTGCTGCAAAGAACATGAGTGGACAAGTCCTATTTTCATATCTGCATATTTGTTTTAAGAAATAGATTATCAGAGAAAAGATTGTGCGGAGAGTGAATGTGTACCCTTCACTCAGTTTGCACATTGGCTTTTAGAGCCAAAAAGATATTTATATACAAAGGAACTGTGTGATAGACCAGAGGGAGACCAACTCCTGGCAAAGCTATTAATATTTTAAATCTTATCCCAGTGACTATGATGACAAATTCCACAAGAGCTGTCTCTTACACCTACTGTCAAGGGGGCCCAGTCAGTGAAATAGGAACTACTTGTGATCAGATTGATCAGCCCAAGTTTAATGTGATCTAGCATGTATCATGTGCATAAGTCCCATTAAATTAGCATTCAATAAGGCACTCCTCTCTTCATTACAGGTGGTCTTGTATATGAAACACACTAAGGACTCAAAGCTTTAAGTACCCAAAAATCTAAAGCACATTTGGTGTTACTGGGACAAAGAAAAAGGATTATTCTGTATGAATCATAAAAGTAGCTAAATAGACACTACATCCCCCCAAAAAAAATATATGGGCCAAGTATTCATGAACCTTAGGCTATAAAAATTATGTTCTCAACAGAAGCAGCTTAATATACAAGGACGAAGGTAGGTGTTACAGATACACCTTTTCTTAATTCTGCATTGCTGTACATTCAGCCATATTGTTTAATGTATGGGTACCAAAAGTGCAGTAAAAAAAATCTTCAAATTTTAACATTTCTAAATGAATTACCCTGTTCATATCTTAATTTGAACTTTGAACATTTTCCTTAAACTATGAAAATTTTCCTATGAAAACTTTCTGGTTTTATAATGCCTTTTTTTTTTTTTTTTTTTTTTTTTTTTTTTTTTTTTTAATGCTTAAATGTCACTTGCAAGTGTAGTAAGTAAAAAGGTTAAAGCAATAGGATGTAAACCAATTCTACTTGACCCAAGATTTTAGTATTATATTCATTTAAAGTTTTTGAGCATTCAAAGAATTAGACTAAGTTTAAAAGGGCTAACCAATCTTCCAGAAAGAGCAAAGGAAATGTTAGGATGAGATAAAACATTTCTTAAAATGCATATCAGGTCTGCCACTGCCGCCTACACAACATAATGCCTCACCACAATACTA